GTGGGTTTCTAGGAATTAAATGGTTGAAGTGGCATTAAAAAGAATTTGCTGTTATCAACTGCAGGAATGTGGGATGATTAGTAGTTATTAGGTATCAGGAAAAGTAGGAATTTCTTCCCTTATTTTTATCTTCAGAAGTTGAATATGAGAAAATGAGATGTCAGAATGCCATTAAAACTTCTCATACCATTTTTTCTATTTATTTTTAACAAAACGGCTACTTAGCTTGCTGTCTTAAGAAGAAAATTACAGCATTTTTTATCTCAAGCAGCAAACAGGTAACCTTCTGACCTTTTCAGTAAATCCTCAACTGAACCTCTGAAATTAGGGTGATTTAGCATTTTATGGCACAGAATAAAAATCTCTAATTCTGTTTCCAAATAGTGTATCCTGAACACACATTTTATTAAGCTCTTGACTCATTCAGCCATGTGTATTTTGTAAAGTTCCTATGGTTATTGTTTTACAATAGCTGCTTCCAGAAGCATTGTAAGGGTTTCAATTAATCAGCTCTTTGTGTGCTTCAGACTATGCAAATTTATCACATCAGACCATTCAGCAGCTCATGGGAAAGCAGTGTACAAACTGTATTGTCTTCTAGCACCTCCTCTCATTTAGAGTGATGTTTTTAATAAGAAAACTAATCAAGTTTACTTATGCATTATTTATCTGTTAATTTTAATTCTGTTCTTTACCTCTTATGTCAAATGGGATGTAGCAAGTGATATGATAGATCAGTGAATGATTCAATATTGAACAAAGCTTATGTGATGCAGCACTTTTTTTCTTCTGGACTTGTTTTATGCCTAGTTAGCCAACACGGTATGTAATTAGAGAGTTTTGAAGCAGATGTACATTTTTATTTAACCTTACTAATTTTTGCAAATCTCTTTGTCACTTGTCTGCAATATACAGCACTGTGTTACAGCTACAACTCCTCTTAAGCATGTGACATAGTCTTATTTCTCAGGAGTATTTCCAAATTCTGGCAAATCTGATAAATCTAAAATAGATGCCTTTCAAGTTAGTTTTAGCTCTTTTACCACCGTGTCATTAGAATAAGTAAACAAGCACATTAGTAATGCGCTTCTTTTTATCTTGCTGATAGAAACTGGTATTACTGCTGCTTCTATTCACTTAGTCTCCTTTGCTCTCTAATGTCCCTCCTGCTGGTAGTAATTAGTTTTCTATATTAGGTTGTTTTGACTTATTTGATGATTTTTTTTTTTTTCATTTGGCATGTGTGTGTATAGAAGGCATCTTATCGTAGCCGGCGAAAAACTTTCCCATACTGTTGTGTTTTGTCCCTGCCCCCTCCCTGCCGCCCCCCTTCCCCCTCGCTGCTGAACTGCTGTTTTACAAGTCTGCGTATGTTCGTGTTTGTCAGCAAACTGTAAGAGCAACCACATAAAAGATAGCAAATCTGGAAACTTGAATTCCTCCTGATTAGAAAAAGAAACTCTTAAAGGACAAAAGTACAGGGGTGAGGGGAACTTTGTGCTCTGTCAGGGCCTTGTGGAGGTACATGGGTGTTGAGATGCTGTCGGGATTGATGCAGATAGCGTGTGTGAGGATGGGGGCCATCATGCATAGTCAGAGGGCTGTCATTTATTGGCTGGCTTACAATGGCATTGAAAAACACTGCCTATAGCTGGTTTATACTTGCATGTTAAACCACTGTAGATGTCTGATTTAAGTTTATTCTAATTTAAACTGTTATCCTTGCAGTAAACTGCTCTGTTTATTAATCCACTTTTTTTTTTTTTGAGGGGGGTATCTTAAAAGAATTTTTTAGCATTTTCACTAATTTTTCATCTAAGCTGACATTATGAAATTGATACACAAAGCTTTTTTTCTAGACTTCAATTTGGTTTTCAGTTGAAAAGAAATGAGATGTAGCAAGCTGCTGGATGCTTTCTTGCTCAAACATCCAACCCTCTTGTTAGTCCACACATTAAAAAAAAAATTTTGGTTTTGGTTTTGTCTGGAAAAATAATTGCAGCCTTTTCTGGTGGTTAATGTTTGATTCTGGTCCTAGATGAGAAGTCCATAGTGTATAGGCGAGAGCAGATTTAGGCCCATTGCAGTGTAGCCTTTAGTCTGAAATTGTATCACTAAATTTCAGATGCAGCATATAAAAATTTTGAGGGGAAGAGAAATGCATGAAACCAAATTATTTTCTATGTCCTGTGTGAATGCTGGGGAACAATTTTCATGTGATGTCTAAATCAATAACAATTAGGAACTCTTAATAACCTGTAGTAAGAGCCACAGGGCAAAGTTACCTGCTAGTTTGACTGTGTCCTATTTATGAATATTGGGTGGGGAGTAGTTGAGCAGCTCAGTTGCGAAACACAGTTTATACCTGAACAGGGCAACATTTGGAACTGGAGGCTGTCTTAATTCCAGCCTTGTCTTTTCTCTTTTGCTGTTTTATTAGCCAGTTCCGAGTGATAATTGCACTTATATGGATTAATTCACTTGATCACTTTTTTGCAGCTGCTTGGCAATGCAGAACTGCTAGGCTTGCCTTTTACTGCCCTGCTGCAAACCCTGGCTCAGTCATCAGGGCTGAAAAAGAGTAGCGAATTCAGGAGCTTACAGTACAGACCTGCAGACCTGCAAGCGTTAGTCTCTGAAGAGCTTCTGAAGGCAAGTGACTGCAAAATGAAGTCAAGTTTACGTTTTTAAATGAATTGCAGTTACTTGCTTTTAGAAGTAGTGTTGTATATAGGAAAGATGTCTTTCAGCTTTTTAAACATTTTTTTATGAGGAAGAATAAACTTTCGTAAAACATAGGGGAAGAAGAAGCTTCTGTCTGTCCTGTTCTCTAAATACACATGGGCATGCTATAGATCTGTTATAAACTCAGTGGCTTCTTAAAATACAGAAGCTTAGAATTGAGGTTTTATAGCTTTATCTTTTTTCTCCCCCCCCGGCCCCCGTAAAATAGAAACTTTATAAATGGCCTAGTGAGCTTCACATTGCTGGATTCTGTCTAAATATTTTGTTTTTAACTTCTAAGCTCATTATGCTGTCTTTGTGTTAACTTGTATTAAAATCTGTCAGCTATGACTGGTCTCATAACCACAGTCAGCGGACCAGAATAAGTTAATTATTTACTTGTGTCACTAGTGCTCTTCATCTAATGAAATGCACAGCTGTGTTAGATCTGCAGTTGGGTGTGTAGGTCCCATTGTTATACAAGTCAGCGGAGGGTAGAAGCCGCTATGATGGAGAGCCCTCAGTTCTTTCTGCTGTTCTGCCTTTCTGTGTCGATTTCATGGATCTTTTATCATTCACTTTCACACAAAACAAACAACACAGTGGCTGTCTGCTATGGGAACCAGCTTGGCATATAAAAGGTTTTCAGAGCCTAAAGTAATTTTAAGTTAGCTAAGATTTAATTTTTGGCTTACAGGTGCCGTGAAGTCCAGATGCAACCTAATTCTTTCATAGAAGTAAATGCGAATAAGGCAAAATGTATGTGACATAATACATATATAATAAAGTACTTCTGTATACAGTTTTAGGATAAAAAAAGCACAAAGAGATAGTGGGTTGGTTTGGTTTTTTGTGGGGTGGGTTTTTTTTTTTTCATTTTCAGCAAATGATTGCTGCTTGGCAGGGAGGGGTAGAAGGATGTTAAGATTTATCATAATAGAACAATGAAAATTAGTTTCAATAGGTTTAAAAACTAAATACAACAACCCCCCTCCCTTGCCCCAGACGCTCCAATTTTTTTTTTTTTTTCTGCTCCCTTCCCCCATACTTACCATTTTCATTCTATTAAATACTGTCCCATACACCTATCCCTGTCTTGCTTGGACAGTGGAAGAGGAGCTCCCTCCTGAGCAGACGCCAATATCCCCCTGTGAACTGGCTGGTTGGGGGATGCCTTTTTAGGGATGTAACCAGCACCCTCAGTCTTCCAGGAGCCCCCTCCGCTTCGGGACTGTTCCCAAAGCGTGCTCTTGCAGTTGCAGCAGGCTGATCTCAAATAGCTTGCAGACTTTTTCAGCTCTAAGGACTTCTGGAAGAAATTGTCCAACTGAAACAGTAGCTTTGGTTCAAAGGAGTATGGGCTTAAGCAGCTGCATTTTAGCACCTGAATTTGAATGTTAGATCTCTTGGTCATTTATAGCTGCAGTATTTTGATCTGCAGAATGCACTGTAGAAACAGTTGTAAGGGTTGGAAGGAAAATTTTGGGATGTGTGATAGACTGTTTTAAATGAGTTTTCATGTTTCTGTTTAATCTTTCCTAAATAGTTTTAGAGTTTGGGGGGTTTTGTTTGTTTTACATCCAATACTGATAGAGACTGAAAAAGCTTCCGAAACTTTTAAAGGTACAGTTTGTCTTCACGGACTGACAAAATATAAGCAGTCTGGGGAGTGGATTGTACTTTTGACTCATCAAAAGCAGTCTTTGCTCAGCAAGTGAATGCTACCTGAAAAAAATCTTGGTGGTTTGTTTTTTTTTTTAATTTTCCCCTAATTATCTCCTCTCGGTCCCTGTCAAAGTCCTGACTTGATTTGGGTTTATTCACAGTATTTAGCATAGATATATACGATAAACAAATTTCAAATCAATAATAATTTTGTATGTCCGAAGAGATACTGTAGGAGGCCCAATTTCTTCATTTTTTTGCAGGAAATTGTAGCATCAGCTTTAAAAACTAGGTCTCCCTTGAGATGTTCCACTCTGACTGGTCGGAATTTTCTGGTTGCCTCTGAAAACTGTATCTAAAGCTTTCTTCCCTAATTTGCTAACTCGCAAATCAGTGGGAGCATTATGTAGGGTATGCTAATTTTGCCAGTCCTGTCACAAGGGCTCTCTTCTAGCCTGCAGGTTGTGAGCACTGGTCATGGTAATGAATCTGGGTAAAAAGTGATCCATGAGAAAGAGAGGAGGAGGAAAACACTAAAGAAAATCTGGTGATGAGCGTCAGCCCTGCTGGTGGTTTGCTGTTTGTGAATTGAAATGTTTTCTCTTCTGCAGGGGTGTGTGGACTGATTGTTCCTCAGGAAGACATGCCATTTTGCGATACAGGAATCTGTCCAGATATCATAATGAACCCTCACGGCTTCCCATCACGTATGACGGTTAGTGGTTATGTTATGATTAAAGAGACAGTGTTCCCCGATAGGGAAAGTGAAGTAGATTAGCCAGAAGAAACAAAAAAAAAGTTTGAAACATGGTTTCACTGAGAATATACTCCAGTCATCGTGCCATGCGCTTGCTCTCCTCTAAGTCTTCAGCCCTCTGTTTTGCATGTTTTGAAACATCCTACTGTAAAAGGAGTAGGGATGCAGGCTGTTTCTGCATCATTCTCATTTTGTTCTGTATCAAGCTAATAGGAAAACAACCGAACACCTCACTTGCACCATTTCTGTTTGAAAATTTCTTGCTCTCCTTCCTTCCCTATTGCCTATGCCCACTGAGCCAGCTGGGGCAGACTGTGAGGCAAAGGTTGGAGAGGAGTTTCGATAATAGATCTAGACCCCTGTAACTTCTTACATTACACATGCCTCCCTGGAACTGATGCAAGTCTTGCACCTGTGCTGCAGGGTCACACTAAATGCCTCACAGCCTGGCCTTTATATGGGACCTCCACTGATCACTTCGTACAGCCTCTGATCTTTTTTTCTTTGTTAGTGTCTTCCCTTCTGTTCCCCCTGCTGCACTTTAGCATGTCAATCTCTGAGGCTTTCCCAGAGCAGAAGGCCACACTGGATTCTGCTCATTTTCCAGACAACTGGAAAAAATGGAGCTGCCTACTCTGGACCTTAAAGGTGTTCCCAGACCCTCTGATGAGTCTGGTTTTCCCCCTTCACACAGGAGTACTCCCTGTTCTTGGGCTTCTTCCACTCCTCACATTGCACGCAATAACCCAGGCTGCCATCTCGAACACTTTGCCTGGCTAACTTAATGCTGTGACCAATCCAGCAACGTGCCCGTCCTAGTGAGCCAGCTGTTAACTCTGCTGTTCTTTGTACAGGTAGGAAAGTTAATTGAACTCCTGGCTGGAAAGGCTGGGGTCCTCGATGGCAGATTTCACTACGGAACAGCTTTTGGAGGCAGTAAAGTTAAGGATGTGTGTGAAGATCTTATTCGCCATGGTTATAACTACCTAGGGAAGGACTACGTAACATCTGGTATCACTGGGTAAGAATCTGCTGTATGGATTTAGATGTTTCAGGGGAGTGGGGAAATCCTGTTGAGACACATCTGAAAAATCTTCTCATGTCTCAGAGCTCAGGAACTTTCTCTTATTTGCAAATCGCTCTGTGAGATGGAGGGAAGGGACTGAAGAATTGTGC